GGATGCCTGACAATGTCGGGGCATGCTCATATGAGACGAGGCATGGTGTCCTGGGGTAACTCCTCCCAGATTATTACTGAGCTCCTGAACAGACTGAGGTGGGTGCAACCTGGCGGCGTCGGATGGACCGAGACAATGTCCCAGAGGTGTTCTATTGGATTCAGGTCAAGTGAGCGTGGGGGCCATTCAATGCTATCAATTCCTTCATCTTAATAAAGGAGTAAAGTGGAAATTAGTCCAATTAACTGAGATTTATGTAGGTACATTATAAATAGCTTTTTTGTCTATCAAGAAGGAAAAGCTTACCATATTTATTGCTAGTTGTAAAAAAACAAACAAAAAAAAACAAACTAGAAAGATACATCACTGTAGTCTTAAAAAAGGTATTAATATTTCACACTACTAATTCTGTGGTGGAGAGGGGCAAGAAGGTATCAATCATACCTCTGGGCTTCCGACACTCATGCACCTTTAGACTCAATTAGATATGGGAAAATGGCCAAGAAAATGTATTGCTAATGTCAAACTAACTTCAGTGGTGCATAGTTGGGAACATTCACTAGGTCAGAAAGAGTAAATAAAATATATAATATATAGATATATGCACACACACACACGCACACTATATATAGATATACACACACCAAAAAAAATTAAAGGAACACTTTGAAAACACATCAGATCTCAATGGGGAAAAATATCATGCTGGATATCTACTGTATACCGGACTGGGTAATGTGTTGGGAACGAAAGGATGCCACGTCGTTTGATGGAAATGAAAAATTATCAACCTACAGAGGGCTGAATTCAAAGACACCCCATAAATCAAAGTGAACATATGATGCAGCAAGCTAATCCATTGTGCTGAAAATTCATTGCAGCAACTCAAAATGGTACTCATTAGTTTGAATGGCCCCCACGTGCTTGTATGGATGCCTGACAATGTCGGGGCATGCTCATATGAGACGAGGCATGGTGTCCTGGGGTAACTCCTCCCAGATTATTACTGAGCTCCTGAACAGACTGAGGTGGGTGCAACCTGGCGGCGTCGGATGGACCGAGACAATGTCCCAGAGGTGTTCTATTGGATTCAGGTCAAGTGAGCGTGGGGGCCATTCAATGCTATCAATTCCTTCATCCTCAAGGAACTGGCTGCATACTCTTGCCACATGAGGCCGGGTATTGTCGTGCACCAGGAGGAACCTAGGACCCAATGCACTAGCGTAGGGTCTGACAATGGGTCCAAGGATTTAATCTCGATACCTAATGGCAGTCAGGGTGCTATTATCTAGCCTGTAGAGGTCTGTGCGTCCCTCCACGGATATACCTCCCCAGACCATCACTGACCCACCTCCAAACCGGTCATGCTGAACGATGTTACAGGCAGCATAACGTTATCCACGACTTATCCAGACCCTTTCACGCCTGTCACATGTGCTCAGGGTGAACCTGTCACATGTGCTCAGGGTGAACCTGTCACATGTGCTCAGGGTGAACCTGTCACATGTGCTCAGGGTGAACCTGTCACATGTGCTCAGGGTGAACCTGTCACATGTGCTCAGGGTGAACCTGTCACATGTGCTCAGGGTGAACCTGTCACATGTGCTCAGGGTGAACCTGTCACATGTGCTCAGGGTGAACCTGTCACATGTGCTCAGGGTGAACCTGTCACATGTGCTCAGGGTGAACCTGTCACATGTGCTCAGGGTGAACCTGTCACATGTGCTCAGGGTGAACCTGTCACATGTGCTCAGGGTGAACCTGTCACATGTGCTCAGTAGCTCTCACCAACTCCTCTGTGACACTCTTCCATAGGCATATTCCACCTCCAGCCCAGCTTCCATCAGGTTCCTTTCCAGTAGCATCTAAGTTCTCTGGGCCCCCAGCATCTGCCACATGCTGAGGCCTAGACCAGACACCCTGTAGCACACAGACCTCCTCCCAGGGAGGACCCCAGGGGAGAGAGTTCTGGAAGGTGTCCTCAAACCTTTATCACCTTCCTCCAGCCATACATCTGAGTCAGCCTGCTCAGGGATTGGTAAGAGTGAGATGCATAATCACAGTCTAAGGATGGATCCTCCCTGTGGCTGAGGCCCCAACCCAGCAACAGGGGGAAGCAATCAATCCACCAGACTCAGGGAATCCTGCAGAACTCAGAGCAATCAGCGTCCAGACTGCTTACAGTCCAGATATACACTAAATTTAGTAGTGACATAGCAGAGGGTGCTACACGCACATGAACTTTAATGGCATCCCAGTCTTAGTCCATAGAGTTCAATATTGAGTTGGTCCACCCTTTGCAGCTAGAACAGCTTCAGCTCTTCTGGGAAGGCTGTCCACAAGGTTTAGGAGTGTGTCTATGGGAATTTTTGACCATTCATCCAGAAGCACATTTGTGAGGTCAGGTAATGATGTTGTTTCGAAGAACCACCTGCACTCCTTACGGTCTGCAACCTTCCAATGGCGGTGGTGCTCTGGTGATCACACGGATGGCGCCGTGCAAAGCTCAGAATAGTCTCAACAGGTCACTGGCGCACACACAGATGAATTCAATATCTCTTAGATATGTTTATTTAAAAATGTCACATGTCATTAGAAGCTGAAGCTAGCGTTTCAGGGACCCTTCAATTAAACATGTTGTCACTGTGTCGCTCTGATGAAGGGTCCCTGCGAGGCCCCGACACGCTACCTTCAGCTTCTGACATGTCGTAACATTTTTCAATAAACATATCTATAGAGATATTGAATTGATCTGTGTGTATGCCAGGTACTGATGTTGGGCGAGAAGGCCTGGCTTACAGTCTCCGCTCGAATTCATCCCAAAGGTGTTCTATCGGGTTGAGGCCAGGACTCCGTGCAGGCCAGTCAAGTTCCTCTGCCCAAAACTCGCGCATCCATGTGTTTATGCACCAAACTGTTCCCACAAAGTTGGGAGCATGAAATTGTCCAAAATGTCTTGGTATGCTGATGCCTTAAGAGTTCCCGTCACTGGAACTAAGGAGCCAAGCCAAACCCCTGAAAAACAACCCTACACCATAATCCCCCCTCCACCAAACTTTACACTTGGCACAATGCAGTCAGGCAAGAACCGTTCTCCCGGACAAACCCAGACACGTCCATCGGATTGTCAGAGAAGCGTGATTCATCACTCCAGATAACACGTCTCCACTTTTCTAGAGTCCAGTGGCGGCATGCTTTACACCACTGCATCCGACTCTTTGCATTGCACTTGGTGATGTAAGACTTGGATGCAGCTGCTCAGCCATGGAAACCCATTCCATGAAGCTCTCTACGCACTGATATTGTGCCAATCTGAAGGCCACACGAAGTTTGAAGGTCAGTAGCCATCGACTCCTTGGCGACTTGAGCCTGATGAAGGGACCCTGCAAGGTCCCAAAAGCGCTTGTTTTTCAACTGACAATCTGTTCAATAAAATGAACAATTGATTATCCTAAAAAGGTTTTGGTGTGCTGATGACATTCTTCTCTACCAAACTTATGTTGAACTGTAAGGTATACAGAGCTCAAGTCTAGGTCTTGAATACTTGCAAACCGGCTGCTGGTAGCAGGACAAGTTCAGATAGCAGGTGGCCAGCTCACTGAAGGGGGGCATCCAAGACCAACCAGGGAGGATCCCCACGTCAGAAGCAATAAAGATCAGTGGGGCTAATGTGTTCTCATACAAATGGTGGAAAGAAGAGTGTGTTACCTGTAGATCCTCAAATCATCTCCAAATTCATGCTGACCCTGTCCTTCCTTGAGAAGAGTTGCAAATTTTGCTCCAAGCTCGCCCCCGTGATAGACTACAATCCCACATTTAATATTAATCTGTATCGAGATAGCAGTCCATCATGGGAGCGAGCTTGGAGTGGTGGCTACTTCACAACACACACAGGGAACATGAGGAACATGAACAGTCACTCTCCAGAACGAAGGAGTGCGTCCGCACAAATTCAGAGATGATTTGAGGATCTATAGCAGGGGTATCCAAACTCGGGCCCTCAAGCTGTGGTGGAACTACAAATCCCATGAGGCATTGCAAGATTCTCACAGCCACAGGCATTACTCCCAGAGAGAGATGCATCATGGGATTTGTAGTTTCACCACAGCTGGAGGGCCGGAGTTTGGTTACCACTGATCTATAGCTTTGTGATACACAAATAAGCTACATTTTTGTTAAGGTACTTTAAAGCCTTTTTAAGATTGAACTCCTGAGTTTAGTTTCACTAAGATAAATTGCATTGTTTTTGAGAGTGCAAATGATGTCAGCTAGATAATTCGACAGAAAATATGAATTGTGACTGGATACTGAAAAAAAAAAGTGACCACTCTTTATTCTTATTATCTATAAATTTTCTCCAATACTAAAGTAGTTATTTGTGAAATAAAACAGTTACCCAACAATCCTACGATATTGGGAGATGTAATTTAATTTAGTGCCTGCATCTTTAAGCCTGTGGATCTATGTGCCATAAAATGTATTCCTATCAAATCCAGTTCACAAAAGGCAGGCAGCTGGAGAGACTAGCACTTTGTAAAAGTCATTATCTGCTTGCAGTGAGCAATTGCCTCACCGGCCAGGCTATGTTCATCTGGATTTATCTTACTTTTCCACCTTTCTGAGAAAGAGGACAAGGGTGTCAGGCACACTTGTACAACTTATTCAGACAATAAGCAGTGCAGATGGCAACAAAATAAAGAGGACTAAAGTGTGCTGGCCACTGTACTCTTCATTTACTTACAGGAAACAGGGCACAGTGGTAAAAGATGCAACTTTTAGCGCATTTTCACCGAGCCAGCATTAATATAAATTGAAGCCATACATGGAAAGGACCACTAGCCTGAACTCATAAAAAATGCACGCTCATTTAACAATGTAGCCTGAAACAACAAATTCTATAAAACAGGCAGAGAGGGGTGGGTTGTTGAATCCCCCACCAAAATACATTTCTATAATCTGTTAAACAAAAAAATAGATATTAAAACCCAGTGGAAACAAACCTCTTTAAAGCACGGTGATGGGTTTCTAATTTGTTCTAGCATGGCCCATTTGACTGTTGCTTGCCTGATATTCCCATCATACTCCCTGGAGCTCTGAGTGCCACTTGGTGTGCCCCTTGATCTCTCATATCCTGGCTCATTGAAGTAGGGCTCGGACACAAGAATAAGGGACTGGACAGACACCAATACCTGTAAAGAGTAAGAGGATAAGTATTTGTTAAAGATAATTACAGCATGGTTTAGACTCACAAATAAACAGTACCAACGTCCTTTTTTAGCAATTCGATCATATGACAGCTGTTTTTTTTTTTCTTTTCTGTTCACACATGCTCCCGAAAAATGTAAAATAAATCAATTACGTTCATTAGAGACTGTGGACCTGTCTCCAATGAGTGAAACCTTAATTTTCTATGTGGAAAAATGTCCCCCCCCCGACAGTTACAAAAGGCTGACCCTGTGTAATTGAAATCTTGGATGGAGCTCTCCTATAGGGGCCTAACAACCTTTGCAGTCAAGAAGCCCTAGAACAGTGGTGGCGAACCTTGGCACTCCACCTGTTTTGGAACTACAGGTCCCATGAGGCATTGCAAGGCTCTGACAGCCACATACATAACTCCCAGAGGCAGATGCATGTTGGGATTTTTAGTTTTGGCACAGCTGGAGTGCCAAGGTTCGCCACCACTGCCCTAGAAGATACCAATAAGCTAAGCAGCTTCAAAAATCTTCAGTAAATCTTCTGTGTGCTCTCTACCCTCTTGCTGTCACAATGACGGGCTCGCCCTGAAAACAGCACAGGATAAAAAGGACAGCTATGAAAAATATTGGGAGCTTTCGCGGCAAGCTTTTTTTTTTTGCTTGTGCTCACCACATTAAAAAAATAAAAAGCTAAGTACAAAACTACTCTTCATTTCATTTACCTAAAAACAAAAACAATAAAACAGACACCATCTAAAAGAACAAAAAAACCCCATTAAAATAAAAAAATGTGTTGGGGGATTTTTGTGAGGAAAAAAAAGTTTCGACTTGCCAGAACAATGCTTTTCTTGGCGTACACTAAAGGGACAAAGGAATAAGTATTTATTTTACACCGAGTTATGCTGCTGGTCTCAGGTGATTGGACCAAGGCAAACAAAGCTGTAAGACAGTCTAGTATAACTCCTGCCACACATCATGCTCCAGTTTTGTAGCAAAGAAATAGTAGGACCGGATCATAAAAACAGAGAAGGCCCTTTGTCCCTTAATGTACTCCAATTAACTCAAAAATCCTGTTTACTGTAACACAAAGGTCACAGGAGAAAATAATTCTCATACACTGGGACATCCAAAAGCAGTCCAATTGAGTGGTGGACAGCACAGCAAACAAATTGCGAACAAGCTCATGAGAACCAACATGTGGCCAGTCATATAGCCACTTTGTGACGGGACGTACACTGTACGTCTCCCGTCACGAAGGGGTTAATAGAGTCGGTGCTTGGCTCTGTTATGCCTACAGCTGACCAGGACCCAATGTTTGTTTCTTTCCATCTCATTATAGCAAAATAAATATCAACAGATTACATTTTGGTTTGAGAGCCCTTTAGGGCCTGTTCACACGACATCTGTTTTGTGTGCTGACCGGCTCCGTACCCTGCTGCACTCAAAATGCATCCCAATGTATCCCTATGTGTTTTATGGGCTCCAGTTCTCACGTGCGCAGTCCATTCAGCTTACGACAGAAAAAATACTGCATGTCACATTTTGTCCGGTCACGCACGAACGCGCATGAAACGCAACGAAAACGCAACGAAAATGGAACGGAAACGCAACTCAATGCAGCTAAGGGGGGAAAAAAAGAAAAAATTGTATTCTTGCTCCACTTATTATGTCATCAACGTTGACAAAAAATTAACTGTTAGCATCTGGACCGAAAACGCATCAAAAACGCACTGCATCAGCAGCTCCACGTCTGCTGATCAGCACCTGTTCAGGACCTGATCTCATGTGAACAGGCCCTTATGGTCTCAAGCTTATCAAATTGTGTGTGGCATTTTGTGTGAATTGATGTAGTAGATAAATAGAAGACAGAGTTCTGTTGTATATTCTGAAAGAAGACACAAATAAAATTAGGAATACGCCATATCAACTATAAGGAAAGGTAAAGGCACACCTGCAAAAAACTTGATGTCTGTGGATTCCACTTCTCTTCTGGTCTTCCATGCCAGGTGTTTAGTATACTTAAACATACCTTTAAAAAAAAAAAAAAAAAATAGCAACATTACATCTGTGCATGTATTTTTTCATCTATTTAACTTAGATTGTTGCATATATGTAAAGCCCAATATTTTTTTATGGACAAAGTAGTTGCCACCCTAGAGATTTGCTCTTGCTCCCTGCTGAGTCACTAGGACAGTAACATTTAATCAGTGGGACACAGACAGCAAAGTAAAAAGAAACATGTTTGGGGTTTAGATAAACATAACAGCATAATGTATGTATGTTGTGTTATGTAATTAACAACAAAATAATATTCACATATATTAATCAATTGTGAGTCAAGGCAAAACATTAGCAGTGATACATAGTTTGAGACTGACTGTTAATTTCTACTGTTCAAAGCCCATTTCGTGTGCACCTTACTGTACAACTGGTAACAAATTGTTGAGTGCGTTTGTCGTTTGTTTTGCTTGACTGTTAAATAAATCCCCCAACCCCCTCTTCTGCTGATGAGAAACACTGTGCCAATAGATAACTTTAGCTCTGGCTATCTTAGGTGTCATGTATTTTAAGAGAATTGTTAAAATACAACAGTATAAATAAAGCACGTTTCAAAAATAGACACAGCTGCTTGGGCTGGATTACAGAAGTTGCAAACACTCACAAAAACTGTAGCTAGATCAAAGGAGCTTCGATGTGCTCTAGATTGGTGCTTGTTGATACAGTCTTTATAAAGCCCCTCCCAACTATGTAAGCAACGCAACTTGCACAGTAAAGATGCAAAGGCTGTTGGTATTATTGATAAAAGGTACACAATATTCATTAAAAAAATGTAAACAAATTTAAAGTCACAAAAATTAGGAGGGGCAGAAAAGGCTCGGAGCTGACTGGGAAGAGGAGGCAGAACATGCGATGATGAGAAATAGGAAGAGGAGAGATAAAAAAATAGAAGACATTGAGGCTTGCTTATGCCGTTGCACAGATGCATGTGAAAAAGCTATTGCACCTAGACCAAGAAAACGCTGGGAATATCACCCTCCGAGCTCTCGATTTCTTAAACATGGGAAGAGGAAGAGTCGAGGCTGGATTCAACCGGCCATTTCCACCACCAAGAAACATATTTAGAACCTTCTTTTGCTGCACCTGCAGGCCTCAGAATCAGTACAGAGGACTCGGAAGCCTCTTTTCCACTGCTACAAACAAATCATCCTGACCTTGACATTTTGTTAGACAAGGGCACTCTGCCAGAAGCTGGACAAGACAGTAATAACCCAGCATTTGATAAAATGTTAAGGTGCTATTACTCCCTTTGCCCTACTAAACGGGACACAGAATCCATGTTTTCGCACCTGGAAGACTTGCATTCAGGACTTGGCTGATCTCAACAAGGGTCTGAGACGTTTACATTAGCACCTGAAAGCCATGGAGACTACCACATCTACCCTTGTCACTGTGGTTATTGTGTTGCAGAATATCGTAGACACTCAGCGTGGTTATAACCTCTGGCATCAGACGGCCATGAGAATTGCCACTAAGGAACAACATATGACCGGGGGGCATGCCTGAGGCCACTGGACCCAGCAAGCTCAAGCTGATGGTGTCCAGCACCTTCAACACCTTGTTGGGTGCACCAGGTGACAGAGGAAATAAAGAATGCCAGGGTTCATAGAACTCCTGGCTTTTAGGACCCTAATATTTCCCAGCCAGTGTTATGTCAGGTTCAAGGCCTGAGAGACCCTTTAGTTAGATATAAGTATGGGAATTCTAAAGGTAATTGCTTGGCCCCTCTTATTTTGGTGTTTCACAGTAAAGGGCTGAAAACTTATGTACACAGGATTTCTGTTTTTTTTTCCTCCTCGTTTGTGTCACAATAAAAATAATTTAACACCTAAAAAGTGTTAGGCATGCTGTGTACATCACATGATACAAACACCCCATGATTCAATCTCCCTCAGCACACTACATAGTATGATGGTATTTTGTGTCCCACGTCCTGGAGGGGCGAGCCTTTCTTCTCACCTTTGGCCTTGTTGGTCCAGTGGCTGAGGAATGGAATTATATAACCCTATGTCCATCCCTCTATTGGATCTCTCTCTTGCAATGTGTGCCACTACCCTGGACACTGGTTGTATCCTGCCCTTGGTTCTGCCTTGGTGGAATATTCAAATCCTGCATAGATCACTCTGTACCTGGACATGTAGCATTAATGTAAACATTTTGATTTTATTGTTGTACATGCCATTTACTCAATTAGGGTTCACCCACATGCCCCAGATCCTGTGCTGCAAGATGTTACCTGGGGATGTGCTTTCCCCACCCTTCTGGAAGCTCTTTGTGGGGGCTACCACAACACTGTTTACATTACGTACACAAATAGGTGCCTGGGACATGTGATTGCTAAATCTTCTATCATACAGACTACATTACCTCCAAGGGCCCTACCCTCTTTCGATGTTCTTATGTACAGCACCAAGCCCTTCCCCACTCTCGAAGTCATGTGACTGTCATAAGAGGCATCTCTATACACATGAATTGACCATCTGCTGTCGGGAAAGGGGGAAGATTTGGATCCACAGGCACTTTATTGGTTGCAGTGGAGCACAAGATTCAGTATAACACAGGATTGGGAGAATTTGAAAAGGACATTTGTTTTAATGCATAAGAAGTGACTTTCAGTTTGTAAAGTGTGGAATATATTACACAGCACGGTGGATTAATTTTAAATAGCGCGGTGTATTCTGGTTTACAATGCATGTGAAGTCACTACTTTTTCACTGCAGCTATTACAATATTTAGGGAAGAATTAGGAGTGTGGATATTTGTGGGAAAGCTTTAGTCTGTATTGATTTAGAAAAAAAACTGTAAGATGAGACTAAAAAAAAAAAATTAAAAAAATTGGTAATTGGTATCAGCAATTGAGGAAAAATATCGGTACTTGTACTGGTCTGGGACAGTTGGTATTTGTGCATCCCTACTTTAAATGACATAGATTTCTGTATCAGTTTTAACAGACAGGGTGACATTGATAGAGTCCTTACACCTTTTGAGGCATTGTGCCTTCATAAAGTGGGCCTACACATCTCATTCCGCACCCAATACACTCCTATACATACGCTACTGGGAAAAGGAGTTAGGCCAACAGTTTTAGAACACAGACCTCTTAAAAGTGTTTAATCTTTCCCATAAGGCATATAAAGCTTCCCTCTCCCAAGACCAGAGTTAAAAATTCTTAAACGGTGATACAGATGCATTTGTGATATCCAAAAAAATCTTTCCATAAGCATCAAACCTTTGCTGAAGAAACAGGCACCATGTTGCACCCAAAAATCAGAGATTCAAGTTGTCTAAGCATCCCTCCACTCTGGAAAGTGGAGGCTCGCCCACATGCCAAGAAATACCTGGTTGTGGGAAATGGTAGGCTTTGAGTGCTAGATCCAGAGGGTGAACTAGGAACTAGACATTTAAGTTTCATTTTGTTCCAAATGCAAATATCAAAGACATTTCATGAATTCTGCATTTCTTGCTGGCTTCCATGTCTACTAGGAACCTGGCTTTGGGGGTCTTCATAAGGAAGTGGAGAAGCAAAATTAACGTTTTGCAACAGAGAAGGGGAAAATTTAGCAATCTATTCCTCTGGCTTCTTCTGCTGAGGAAGATGGGTGCTCTTGCCGTCAGTAAATAGTAACTACACAACAGTGTCTAGATACAATCTGAAGAGACGTTGACCCTTGAAGGCCATGCGGAACAAACAATTCAGATACAAGAAGTTTCCAGTCCAGCATCTCAACTAGGGTGCACATGCATGAGCACCGACAGGAGATACATGAGATGGCAAAAAACAGGAAGCATTTAGCAGCCTGGCACAGTTAAAATGAATAATTACAACCATTTGTCCATGCATACTCCATGGTACAACAATGTACAAACACAAATGGGCAGCAAATGCTACTACTGTAAAGGGTGAATCAGACTGCCACAATAAGGAGAAAATATATTATCAGATAGCTTAACCACAGATTGAAATTGGTCTAAATAATTTCTACTTCAGAAAGAAGAGAGTCTAATAACTGACCCGCAAAGAGATAATAAACTGAACCAGAGAAGCCCAGTGTGTCAGGCAGATTTAACAAAGGGGGGAATAAGATGGTAGTAACTAGAGAGATGGTAGTAACTAGAGAGATGCACTAATACCATTTTTTCAGACCAAGTATGAGTACCAATACTTTTCAAGTACCATACCAATAGCTTTTTTTTGTGTGTCTTATTATAGTTTACAGAATGCAGAATACAATCAGTATAGAGGACTACAAATCTCAGCAATACATCATACACAATGCAGAAATGCACCGACTATTGAGTACAAATCCCAGCAAGTTCACAGTAACAGATGTGTAGTTGTAGTGATTGTGACATACATAAGGTAGTTTTATAACTCATTATGGGAGATTGGATATGTTCCTTGGGAATGTACCCGAAGACAAACCTTGGCTGACAGGCAGTGCTCCTGTGCTCGTCTATGAAGGGTGTCTGTCCCTCTTCTAATAGCCTTTGCTCCTGCAGTAGTAGTAGTGCCATACACACACTGACCATCTCTACACAGCCGGCTCAGTCTGTGTATTTACTGGTCCTGGTCCCCTACGACCAGCAGGGCCAGCGCTGATTGCCGAAGTGGGGGAGATGTGGGGGAGATGTGTGGGCCCGAGCTGGTTGTAGTAGGGGGGAAGATGTGCAGGGTGGCGCTGGTTGCAGTAGTAGGGGAGATGTGCGGGCCGACGCTCGTTGCAGTAATGGGGAGATGTGCGGGCTGACGCTCGTTGCAGTAGAGGGGGAGATGTGCGGGCCAGTGCTGTAAACAGGTGCCGCAAGATCCCCAGAAGGTTGCCGTGAAGTCTCCAGCAAGCGCAGAACCACAGGCAAAAATTAAAAGGCATGTATCTGTGTTTAGTAATCGGGGCATTTTCACGAGTATGAGAACTCATGGCAATGCCCTGCATCGGCACAGGTACCGATACTAGTATCGGTGCATCCCTA